AAGGAAGGAAGGAAAGAATGTTAGATTTGGAAGAAACTACAGAGATCATTAAGAAGACAAAAGCAGGAGAGATGTGGGAAAATTAAAGACATATTTTTGTCTCCTTACAAGAACTTCCTAACAATCAGAACCATCTCCCCTTGGAAGTGGCTTCTTTTCTTAGAATGGATAGTAGATTCTCCATCACTGTAAGTGTTCAAGCAGAAGCTGAACAGTCATCTGACAGAGCTGCTTGGTCTAGAGGGATCCATGCCCTGGATGAGAGATTGGACTAGATCATAGAATCATAGATTCAGAGCTAGAAGAAACTTCAGAGCCCATGTCATCTACCTCCATCAGATGAGGAACTGAGGTCTTCTACTGAAGGGAAGTGACTTATCCAAGATCACACAGGTAGCAAGAGGCAGAGCTGCTGAGAGTATATCATTGCAGTCTGACTTCTACATGACCAAGGAATCTTCTCCAAACATCATCAATAAACATTCATCTCGCCTCCACTTGAAGACCTCTTGTGATGAGAAACTCATCATCTCCCACGGCAGTCAATTCTACTGTTGGATAGCTCTGATGATCACCAAGTTTTTCCTTGAATCGATCCCAAATCTGCCTTCTTACTGTTAACAGAATTTTAAATGTAGTCTGGGATAGGACCGGTGTGAGTAGATAGAGCCACACAAAGGAAACTGAGGCAAACAGGATGAAGTGACTTGCCCAGGTCACACAGCTAGTAAATGCCTGAGGCTGGATTTGAACTCAGGTCTTCCTGACTCCAAGCCCGGCGCTCTATCCTCTGTGCCACCTGGTCCCCTTAAGACTACCCCTGACTCATCCTCTATGTGTCTTGTTTGTACAAAGCTGTTTGTGTGTTGTCTCTCCTATTACACTGTGAACTCCTTTCAATCAAGAACTGTTTTTTGCCTTTCTTTGAATCCCAGCTATTAGCATAATGCCTAGTACATAGTAGGTGCTTAATAAAAGTGAGTTGACTAACTGTTCACTCAAGAAAATATATGCTAATATAAGGAGGAAATTATTCAAATGAACATGGATTCTTCGATTTATATCTCGAGGGGATTTTAAAGTCTACCTAGTCTAACCCCCTTGTTTTACGGAGGAGAACATTGAGATCCAGAGAGTTAAGTGACTTGTCCAAGGTAAACAGTATAACAAGAACAACAACAACAGTAAGGATTTAAGTGGAGTTTAAGGTTTGCAAAGCACTCGTAAATTTATCTCATTTTATCATCACTGCAACCCTGGGAGGTAGGTGCTATTATTATTCCCATTTAACAGATGAAGATAGGAGAACTGAGGCAGATGGAGGTTAAGTGACTTTCCCAGAGCCATACAGCTAGTTCATGTCTGAGGCTGGATTTGAGCCCCAGAGCCAATGTTCTGTACACTTAACCACCTACCTACCTTTATCAGAAGCCGAATTTGAACCCCATTTCTCTGTGTCCAAATCTGCTATCCACTGTAGTGGAAAATGGAGCTGGTTATGTGACTGTAGGGTAAGCTTTAGACCTATTTACAAAAATAGCCATTACTAGCCCCTCCTTTTGCTTGGACACTGGCTCCCTGGATCAGGCCGGGGAGAGGCCAGTTTTTCCCCCTCCCATTCCCTTCACTCCATTATGCAGGAAGGGTCTTAATGTTTAAACTCAATATTTCTCCTCAGAGAGCAGCATAGGTAAGTTGGGTTTTTTCCCAGTCATGTTGCGGTTTCCTACAAGGTTTAGTGTCCATGTGCTTTTGTGATCAGGGAGCTCAGCCACAGAATTCTTTTGGGCCCTTTGGGGTCAGCCTAGCTTTTTTTCTCCACAGATAGAGGATTAACCACTGCTTAAAGGTAAATGGAAGCGCCTGGGTGCTGCCAATAGGCAGAGGAGGGGCCGCCTCTGAAGGACACCCTTCTGTGCCTCCTCTAAGGATTCCCTGCTCTCAGTTCTTAAGAGAAGAGTTACTTCTCCCTGTTCCAACCTACTTCAGAAAGATGTGCCCAACATCAGATGGTGGCAAAAGTCTCCACAAGTAAAAAGGCAAAGATCATGTTTGAGGCTGAGACTTTGATGAGATGTCCCTGAGTCTCAGGGATGGACATCAAAACTGGGGAGAATTAAGGGAAAAGAGACCTAGAATGGATCTTAGAAATCATCTCCTCCAGGGGTTCTCAAGCTGGGGTCTGGGAATTTGAATTTTTTTTTTTTAGACAATTAGAGTTAAGTGACTTGCCCAGGGTCACATAGTAAGTATCTGAGGTCAGATTTGAACTCAGGTCCTCTTGACTCCAAGGCTGGTTCTCCATCCTCTGTGCCACCTAGCTGTCCCTGGGAATTTTTTAAAAAACATGTATTGATAACATCATTTCACTATAACTAGTTTCTTCTGTAATCCCATTCTAATTTATTCATTTAAAAATGCTGTTTTGAGAATGGGTACATAGGCTTCTCCAGACTGCCAAAAGGGACCTTGACACAAAAAAAGTTAGGAACCCTTGATCTAGTCCAATCCGCTCGTTTTAAAGGTCCTGAAACTGAGGCCCAGAGAAGGGAGATGATTTGGTCAAGGTCACACACAGAGGAAGTAACATAACCAGGAATCAAAATCTGCAGAACTTTAACTAGGATAAGGCAAATGGGACTTGTCCAAGGATGCTGAAATTTACAACTGAGAGTACTTGCCATCCTTCAGTAGCAAAGAAACAACTAACTTATGAATTGGTTAGCAAAAAAAAAATAAAAAATTAGCTAAATAATAGGCGGTACAGTACACAGAGTGCCAGGCCTGGAGTCAGGAAGACTCATCTTTGTAAGTTCAAATCTGGCCTCGGGAACTTACTAGCTATGTGACCCTGGGCCTTGTGACACTTCACCCTATTTGCCTCAGCTTCCTCATCTAAAAATGAACTGGAGAAGGAAATGGCAAGTCACTTCAGCATCTCTGCTAAGACAACCCCAAATGGGGTCACAAAGAGTCGAACATGACTGAACAATAACAACAAAATAAAATTTTATCAGGTGGCGAATGGAGATTGCACCTCAAGTGAGCTGTTGCCCAGGCCACCACCTCCTAACCCCCACCAACCTGCATTTCAGAACATATTTCCTTCTCCTTGCTTCGGTTCATTTTTCTGCATGACCCAAACACAAAAATCTCTATTTACAGCTTTGGAACTCAGGTCCACTAATAGCTTCTTGACTTTTTTTAAGGATAATTGCATTCTTCAAAAGGTGGAGGAATCACCAAAAGGAAGGGTTTGTTTTTGTTTTTGTTTTTAATTCTTACTAACCCAGAGTTTGTGGCAGAGAAGGAAAGGAAAGATGGGCATCTCCTAGCGTGGACCCTAGCTTTGAGCGAGCTGACTTGAAAAGGTTGAAAGGAAGGACAGGCAGAATCGAATGCACTAAAATTCTTTTGGGGATGTTAGCCCAGAAGGGAAGGGAAGCTTGAAAGAAGGACATTCCAAAGACAAAAAGACACAATTCCAAGAAAGAAGAAAAAGGGGAGATGTTTCTAGAGACTGATGTCAATGTGCAAGAAGCCTCTAAATCAACTGAAAGTTTTAAAAATAGATTTTTACTGAAGTCTTTTGTTTTTATGTCTCCCAAATCCCCCCCCCACACACACACACACACTAATTCCCACAAAACACCTCTAGGGGCTTAATCGACTAGAACAGACATTTTCATTCTCAATCATTGGTCACTGGCACATTTGACAAGTGGTCCAATTTTATCTTTAGCCCTCCTCAAGGCCTGTTCTGTTGTGGGCCTGAGACATTCTCTGCCCACTGAAGCCTCTCTGTCTCTCTGAACTAAATTTCTAAGGTACTTAGGTTGCCCTAGACTCCCCATTGGGGTATCCCAGCTATCTCAAACCGTACTTACGTATAATCATAGACTCAAAACATCAAAGCTGGGAGGGCCCGTAGAACACAGAATGTCAAAGCTGGGAAGGCCCTTGGAACAGGCAATGTCAGAGCTGGGAGGGCCCTTAGCACACAGACTATCAGAGCTGGGAGGGGCCTTAGGTCACAGAATGTCAAAGCTGGGATGCCCCTTAGAACACAGAATATCAGAGCTGAGAGGGCCCTCAAATAATATATGGTTTAATTCCCTCATTTTGCTGGTTGGGAAACTGAAGCTCAGAGAAATAAAATGACTTGCCCAGGGTCATATGATTCCATAGCAGAGATGAGGCTAGATCTCCTTACTCTCAGCCCAGTGTTCTTTCCACAACACTGCCTTTCTTTGGAAAGGTAGGACATTCCCTTTCTCCTCTGACCCTCCAGGGTATATCCCATTTGGTGGGCACCGTTCATAGCAACACACCATGTATCACTTTGCCAAGGACCAGGAGAACAAACGTCAGCTATGTGTCAGGGAAACAGACCCTTATGTGTCACTAATGAATTACAAACATAAACTCTGCAGGTAACATACCCTCTGGCTGAATAAAATGCCTGGAGAGACTGTGAGCCTCAGGCATGTGTGGTGAGACCACCAGTGAAGTCTTAGGAGTTTATATTAACCCAAATCTTTGGACTCTGCCCTGTCCGTCTTTGTTGGGGTCAAGGCAATTAATCCCTTCTATTTCTTCACTCGAGGCTGTATTGGCTCTGTCAGATCTTTAAACCAATCCTTTTCTTTCAGTGTT